AAAGAAAAAAAAAAAGCAAGATGGGCTTCAAAGCTTTATGGGACAATCCTGATGTGAAAAGGCCTGACATTTTCTTTCCTGCATTGCCTGGTATAAAGATGCCTGCACAGGAGAGTTAACGCCAAAAGACAGTACTTACCACAACAGCAAACTGCTCGGGTTCACATAAGTTGTTATAGTCACTCTTGAACTGAGACAGTGAACTTAACTGTTCTTGATCTGGAAGATGCTTTATTAGGTTCTAAAAATTAAAAACATAAGAAAATATTTTCACTAAATGTGCTTCCTGCACTCTAGATAAATCCATTAATAAACTATTGGAAAGAAACCACTAAAAAAGTCACTCTTCAGTTTTATTTCTAGGTAACCTCCCTTATACTCAGCTTTACGCTACATTCTCTGCATCTTGAAAGCAGTCAATTTTCCTCTTTACTCTCTAGAGTTATATATTCAAATCAAGCACTACTGAATGTTTATTTGATTAGCTATATAACTGAGAAAGAAAAACTCCACCTATACCAAAGGAACAGCTTTCTCACCTGGGTAAATGTGATCAATTACATTTCAGATTGAGGGAATTAAATGTCAGATATTCAAGCAAAGCCAAACATATTTTAACACTTCATCCAGGGTGATAAAAGAAATTATCATATTATTACTAAAAGGCAAGAGAAAGAAATGAAATCCAGAGAACTTTAATGAAAGTGCTTGCAAGATTTAATCAACATGATTACAGTTTTAATAACAAAAATGAAAGTATCTCTAAAACGAAGACAAAGTAACTTTTCTGATGTGGAAGAAAACTTGAAAAGGTACTAAAGACATGGAATGATATACTTTGCAAATGAAAAGCTTCTGAAGAGATCGTTTAGGAATTTAAGTGCCTGTTGCCTTTGGTCTGGATCACCTCCCATCCAGAAACCACAGGCTTGCTTGGTTATTCTGGTTCCTCTGTCCATGAACAGTCTTTCCCAGGCCACACACTTAAGGTCAGGCAAACACTCCCAATGAAGACCAAATAAACAAATTTTCTTCCCTGTTATAATGATTATACAGTCTTGTGGACAAAGTCTATATAGATCTTCCGTATCAAAATGTAATTGATTTTAACAGTGTCATTACAAATTAGTGTCCTGATATTAAAATTAAGAAAAAGAGTGGTTGGTGTTCACAATCCCAAATTTTAGCATCAGTATATTGTCTTCAAGCCCAAAGTCAATACAAGTTATAATTCAGCCTACATCATGCTCTATATATTTATGGGGAAAACGCCCCCAAAGGTGTCATTAGTTAAAGACATTGTTAGAGAATGTTATTTATCAAAGTAATTAGATCAAAGAAGAAGTTTTGGACTCACTGTGTACCTTTGGACAAAAACTTGGTTGACTGGCCGAAAACAAACAAAAAAAGTGGCAATTTAAGATCATCCCTAACAAAAGTATTTACTATTAATACTACCAACTGAATAAAAACAATGCAAGTAGAGGATTTTTCCATATAAATAGAAATTTCTCTTATTAAAATTGCCTGAAGCCAAAAGACCTGGTTATTTGTGTTTCTTTTAACCATTCTAGCTAACAGCTGGATTGAGTTATTTATAATCAGGCTTCTGAATTTCTTCAGTATCCTTGTAGATGACCATCAAATCCCCTTAAATATTATGAGTTAATATATAATCTTTTATCATGTATTTATTAATTTTTCATTTCATTATTCTTGCTTTGTAGAGTAATGAAACTATAATTATTTCTAAGATACAGGCCCAAACTTCCTGTGTCTCTCTCTTTACCAAAGTTACCAACCTTCCATAAATCCTAAGGTCCTTTCAGACTAAACCAACTCTTCACAGTTGCCCACATACCCACAGCTTTTCCCTCAGTGCTCAGAGTATTACTAGTGCCAGAATAACTGACCTTTGCTACATATTAGTCACAGAGCCCTATTGCCTTTTCTACATCCATACTGTATTCAGTCCTGAAGTACCCTCACCTCCACACACACACACACACACACACACACGTACCCTCACCTCCACACATGCACAGCACTCCCTTAACCCATCATCTAATCTATACCAAAAAAAAAAAAAA